TTCATTTTCTTGATCTCCTGCATAAGAGGGGCAAGCTCAGGGGCAACGCTGGGTGCTGCTCGCACAGCACCTGCAGGGAGACTTTGATCAGGTACTTGAATACCAATGAAATCGTGAGAATCAATAATGGATGGTATCGTGAACCTTCAATGATTTCAATTTCTCTTTCTCTCTTACAGTAATCATCATGGTGGCATGGTGGTCAAGTGTGGCCAAAGCAGCGTTGGAAGTCATCTTTTTGGTCCAGCTTTCCCACGCCCTGCCGAAGCCGAAAGCGGCATTATCTTTGCGCTTTCGCCGGCATCCTTGGCTGAACACCTACGGTACTATCCTTCTGGGAAAATGCCGCCATAGGTTCAAGCTTAGTACATTCCTTGTCGTGTACTTCACACAGGCGCTTGCATCATTTACTGGCAGTTCCTTCCTTACACATGGCGCCACCGTGACTCTCGTCGTCTTCATCGCAGGTGCCGTCGCCGCTCTGTTCTGGACCCTCCTCTGCATTATCCCCATTGCCATTCAGGTAGTCGAAAGTGACGCCCCATCCTCCTTGGCTGTGTGCTCTCCCCCGCCCATGCCATCCCTCGCTGATCGGCACGTGGCTCGGCACTTTCATTTCTTCACTGTCATCTTCATGGCTATCACCACTTACGTCTCCCTTGACGTCGAACACGTTGGTACCTGGAAACCTTCCCCTTATTTTTTTTCGCCCCCTTCATACTCACATCTATATGACGCTGCGCGTGCATTTTCTTCATTCTTGCCCTGCGTCATCACTGAGACCTGACGTCACGTATCGCGCAGCGCAGCGTTGCTGTATTACATCCTAATGGTCTGTCGCCTCTGTCTTGTGCGTACTGATCCATTATGCACGGCGCCGCTCGCCTCATTCCTCTTCTCCTACCCGTGGGAATGCGAAGATAAACGGGTGGAAACTGCATCAGTCTTCGTGTGTTCGCTCTATCTGGCCTGTTCGAGTGTCACCGAAGGCATACCCTTCCTCCCACATCGCATGCCTACTCAGACTCGCACCAGGTTATTGGGTTGAATACTCTCACTGTTTCCCTTAACCACGAGGCTTTGATTGTGTCAGTGCGTTTCATTTCAAAGCTTACTCGTACATATTCAATGTACATACTCAATCAGCATAATTAAAGGGAGGGTGGACGTTACATCAGCAGAGGCGAGAAACGAAGAGGGCAAAGGGCAGGAAACGCAGAAAAAACGAAAATGGATAAATGAGCGTGTAAGCAGCACCCGGCGCCAGAACGAATAGTTACTATCACTACACTCGTCCCACTTGAATCTTCACCACTCACAATCACGCAACGGACGCTGCGTGATAGTATGCACCACCTCAACGTAGATCCATGATTCTCCATTATCTCGTGAGCCGAGCCGGCTGAGCTTCGTGAACATGCTGGCGGCCCGCGATGCCCGCCGCTGTAGCGAGCGGGTACTCGCGCCGGCGCCCGCAATCGTGGCGTGCGAGGTACGTGCGCGGAGCAGCCTCCATGGGTGTAGCAGCGCCTGTGCGGGCGACGTCGGCGACGACGGCTGCGTATGCGAAGGCGCCCTCCCACAAGCGCGTCCCCGTTCTCGCGAACCGGCTCGTGGGCACGTTGAGGAGACGGTAGCAGCAGAAGCAGGGTAAGCATACGCAAGCACATTAGCAGACCATATCGAGTCACAATCGCGTCCTGGAACGTCGATATACTCCGACGTCGAAGTCGTCGTTACCGAGAACGCCGAGCACTGTTTTTTTTCCCCCTGATCAGTCACGTATGAAAGGGGGGTATACCGCCACGCGCACCTCGTTCGGATCTTCGTACTCGGGTGTATAAAAGAACGAGTCCCCGTCGTCGTCGCACCCGATGTCGCTCTCATACCCGCTATCCGCCACCACCGACGGCCGCGACGAGTATCTGAACCCGTCCGCGTTGGCGTTGGCGTCCGTATTGGCTCCAGCACCGATGTTCCAGGGCTCGCGCGGGTCCTCAGGTGCCATGCGTCCGAGCCACGACCACGCGAACACGCTATCGCGGTCGGGCGGCGGCGGCGGACGCATCGGGAGGGGCTTATCGCGGCCTGTGCCGGCGCTGGGCGGCGGCGAAGATGAGTAATCGGGCGCGGGGGAGGGCGGGACGACGCAGAAGAGGCCGTCGAATGTCGATGATGCGCGGGCGGGTGGCGGAGCGGTCGCGTTGCAGTTGGCGGAGCGGAAGTATACGTCGAGGAGGCTCTGCATGTCCGCGAGCGTGCTTGGCGCCGGCGTACACGGCATCGGCATCGGAAGGTGTACGGGCCGGGGGCGTGGGCCTTTGGTGTGGCTGGTGTGTTGAGCATCGGCGTCGTCGGTGTAGGCGGAGTTGGGTGCTCCTCCGGGAGTAGGGAAGCGCCGGAGAAGGTGAGGAGGCCGTCTGAAGGGTCGTACATCGCAACGAAGGTGAGCGCCGTTTGAGGTGGGACAAGTTCGGACCAGCGGTGCTGTCGTTGGTAGTCGTGTGTCACTGGGGTGGGCGTTGGCGAGGAAGAATAGCAGGAGGGTGTGGAGCAGGACGAGCGTCTGGTGGAGGGTCTCGAGGTCGTGGCGTGTGTCGTTAGGCTGGTGTTTATGGTTAACGCTGGTGCAATCTGTTGGCTGATGAGGCCTAGCATGCACTTTGTGCTCAGGGACACGCACCGAAGAGGTCTTAGGCCGGCTGCTTGGATGTATGTGTGTGCGGCGCGGCTGCGTGGTGGAGCGGTGCTCATAGTGAAAAGAGAGGACAAAAACTAGGAGAGGAGAGAAATGGGCGTGCTGAATCGCACTTCCAAAGAAAACGAAAAGAGGGTTGGTAGACGTTGGGGGCTCTGCAAGGCTGAGAGTCAAGAATACGTCGAAACGAAAGATAGAGAAGATATACGCTATCCTGCCTGGTGCCTGCACGGTAGGTAGGCCTCATTGACACACGGAAAAGACGGTCTTATAGGCACACGCGAGGCAAGACCCCCGTCGCAAATCACGGCTTCTTCATTGGGGCCTCGTGGCTTTCGAACCCCCAATTCTCAAGGGACTAAGGCAGATGATGATGGGAAGACTTGATGCCTGTCTGGAGGGTACACACGAACGAGGCGTGCGTTTGCTGATTACGGCACCGTAACCTTGCGCTGTTGGCATGCTATGTACTGGATAGTGGATTCTCGGACGCACTTTGATAGGTGTTTGATGGCCAGTGGACGCTAAGGAAACATGTTGAGCCCAGCTAGTGATAAACCAGCCGATTGGATAAGGCTGCCCCAGGAATTAGTCATGACTATTACGATGACGAAATGAACCGTGGCCGCAATCGGAAATCAGACATGCGCATAGTCTAACAGAGTTAATCGTTAGTACCCCTTTGAGGCCTGGCAAAAGCCATGGTGACGCAGCAACTTGTAAGTGGAGGCGCTCAGCAGGAAGTAAAGGATAGTGAAATGGCGAGATTAACGCGTGACCAATGAATCTCGCACGATCGGTCGTCCGTTGCTCTTTTCACAAAATTGCGTTCAACGGCCCTCAGAGCCAAGTGAAGCAAAGCATGAATGAGTCATCATTGAGGCTAGAAGTGACCCTAGACTGAATTATGACACTCGGGCTGACCCCTAGAGAAGAGTGGAGATACGCAGCGTAAAGCAAGCAGCACATGTCCACAAACACTTTGTGAATAGCGGAACGTACCTCACCCTTATCACTCGCCATCACACCGGGTACGTCCGGCCATGAGAAAATTCCAAAATCCGGCGGGAAAATATGGCCGCTTGTGAGCCTGACAAATAAGAATTTCAGAGTATGAAGAGGCTTGTGGTCAAGGAACAAAAGAAGCCCCCGGAGTGACGCGGAAATGAAGCTCCGAACCCGGGACAGAGTGAGATGCACGACTGGTCATTCTGTGCTTAAGATGTGTGGATCCAACAGATTGTGGTAGATACGTTGTGATATTCTCGCGAGTAGCGAGCGGAAATGAAGCCAAAAAAAAAAAACCGTCCGTCCTCCTGCAGATATCAGCACCTGTGCGAGATACAAGCTGAACTCTCAAAAACACGCACCATGATGCCACAAAATTCCTTATCGTGCCCACAACTTGCCCTTTCCAGCCGCAATACCAATCGTACGACCATATAGAAGAGCGGGTTGTGTGTCTAAAGGCATAGGGCTGGTCGGTGCAGTGATGACAGAGGGTGCACTGGCTGGCACGGAGGAGGGCGGGCCCATTAGACCTTGCATCAGAGTTGCAAGGTCATCAGTGGTGGGTGGATCCTCGAGCACACCATGTGGGCTACGCGCGAGAGAAGCTTCGATACTTTCTATCTCTTCAACTACCGCTACGACACTCCGTAGTGTATGCATCACCCGTATGAAGCGCGCTGCGAGTGGTTTATTCATTCCCGTTATGAAAATAAAAAGGAGAGCGTCATTCACCTTTCTCGGCCAGTTCATTTCCCTCTTCGAGTGGAGGAAGTAGAGGTGAATGTTCAGCAGCAAGCTCAGTACTGGGTGCAACGTGGAGACGGAGCGTGGTTTCAACGCGGCGTGCAAATCGGTCGCAGAGAGAGATCCTTCTGATTGGGATGTCTCATCTGGGCCATACTCTGTGGAGAAAGACTCGCTCGACGAGCTGGTACGCAAGACGGGGTCGGAGTAGGGGAGGTCGCCTGTGTGCACCGTATGGTGGCTGGTCAAGTTCCCACCTGAACTTGAGGGCATTGCGGGCCTCTGAAGAAGTGAGAACACCGCGAAAGGGATAACGCTTGGGCTTGGAGATTGAAAGGCCAAGCAAACGCGCAGTGGCGGTTGGAACAATCCGAGGTTCCGAGGTCCGCATGCTCCGGACTGTGACAGAACAATGGGACAATGGGTGAAGAGAAAGACGTGCCCTGGGACGCCCTAGAGCGAGAATCTGGGCTCGGAGAAGGACTGCGGTGAAGGGCAGGAGTTTAGAAGGAAGTACGGAATGGAGCTAATGGGGAAAAAAAAAGAGTGACCCCGACCCGGATTGAACGGATGACCTTGAGGAAGCAATAATGCTGGAATCTCACGCTCTACCACTGAGCTACGAGGTCCTGGAAGTACGGTCTGCCACCATAAATGATGATGGTGCCTGATGCCAAGCGGTTGTTAGCAGTGCGTCACAGCCTTGGACGCGAGAGTTATCACGCAGCACCGAGGGTTCGAGATCGCTCACGTCGCGATGACTGAAACCACAGGACTGTCTAGGCGGAGGATCAACACAGGTCCCGCGTCCACATCATCTTCAGAGACTTCGACACCATTCACTTCTCATGCTGGCTCCGCTTTCGCTGGAGGCAATAAAATCGCTTTCGACCCACGCGACCTCGAACGAGACGAAGAAGAATCAAAGGCTGGTGGGAAGACCCCCCGCCTAACTCTTATGGAGGAGGTCCTACTTCTTGGGTTGAAAGATCGTCAGGCAAGTTATATCTGTCTTATTTTGGCCTGCTGACGCGACTGGAACGCAGGGCTACCTGTCATTCTGGAATGACAACATCTCATACGCGTTGCGTGGCTGTATCCTCATTGAACTCGCCCTCCGACGGCGCATCGCCGTACACAAAGACCCAATCGTCGTCGATTCCCCCTTGCCGACCGTCTGGTCGAAGTTATCGACGACCGTCAGACGGGTGAGACTATCCTTGACGAGGCGCTACGCATGATGAAGGCACAGGAGTCAGAGCGCATGTCGATCAACTCATGGATTGACCTTCTTTCCGGCACGTCCTCTCATATCGAGCTCCCCACCCATCACGAATTCCTATGATACGCCCAAATATACTCACGTTCCCGTAACAGGCGAAACCTGGAATGTGCTCAAAATCGGCTACCAACTTAAGCAAGTACGCGAGCGCCTCGCCAAGGGCCTCGTCGACAAGGGCGTCCTCCGCACCGAGAAGCGCAACTTTCTCCTCTTCGACATGGCCACGCACCCCGTCGCCGACCTCCGCATCAAGGATGCCGTTGTCGCCCGCGTCGTCGCCCTTCTCGCCGCCGGCACCACCGCCGTCTCACCCGCCGCGTTCGAAGCACCCGGCACACAGATGCGCGCACTGCGCGCCGTCTGCCTCGCGTGCTCCGCGTACGCCGCGAGTGTGCTTGACAACGCATTCTCGGGACTCGGATACGAGGAGCGCGAGGCCGCGTTCGCGCGGTGTGATGATATTATCGCTGAGTTTGCCGTGTGGCCGTTCGGCAGCGGAAACGGAAGCGGGAGCGTGGGATCTTCGGTCACCGCGGCGTCAAAACGGCGGGAAAATGCGCGGATTGCTATGGGTACCTCTGCCACCAGCGGGCGCGAGGCCGTGCTAGGCTTGCTTACAGAGGTTCGCAAGGAGATGGTTGGTGGAGACGAGGACGCCGGATGCGAACTCGTCGCCGGCGTCTTGGAGGTTCTGAGCAAGCTAGACTCATTGTTGTGATATCGACCTTTTTACCCCGGTGTATGTTTCATCTTTCGACGCCCTCTGACGAGGACTAGTAATTGCTTTTCACCCATGGCCTACTTGCTTAATGAACTTCTCTTCGTGCGTGACAATGTAGCAGAGAGAGAATCGCTACTCATGAGGTCTGTCAGTGAGAATGACGCGATAGTATATTTGGGCGAGCAACGAGAAATGAGGGAGATTTGCATTCAAGTTGACGGCAGCGCTCAGTGTAGGTGGCCCGAATCAGCGTTAGTGCTTGTCATGCACGATCAGTCATTACGGAGCATTCTTCCGCATAAAAGACAAAGAAACGTGGCACAGACTCGGAGAACGGTCTAATCCGTCCCGCCTTTTATGCCAATGGACCAAATTTACTTTTCTGGGCCAGCCGTAAGATGCGGCCACGCGGCCACGACAGTTCTTCGGTGTTCTTCGATTCAATAATGGAATCTCTTTAACAGTACTGTAAAGCACTCTTCGGGACCTTTATGACCTTAAATTCAGTGATGCATCTAACCTTTCCGAGCTGGGGTCGCTTTCCGCTACAGTAGGGCGAAGAAAAAGAGCACGCGGAAGAATGGATCAAAGGAGAGCAACAGGTGGGCCAGCTTGAGGTAGACTGTAGATAGAATAACTGAGGCAGGTCACGAATGGAGAATTGGTTGATTAGGAGTGGCCACTGATCAGAAAAGAAGAGAACGAACGCATTCTAGAGAATTTTAACGCCCTGGATTTGTCGTGCCAATAACGTCATATGCAAAGAAAAGAAAAAGAGCACCATGTTGGCATTCGGACGTATCGTACGCATCGTATCCGCGTGCTGATAATCTAGGCATCGCTGAAGCCGATTTCCTACAACTTTTCCTAAATTCCATGCGGGAAAGAAGCAAAACTTGAAACATGATGCATGATGCACGATATACTGACCAGATGACTAGGTGTTATTAGGAATCGAGTTATGGGTTTGCTATGCAGCCATTGTGGTGGCCCATAAGGTATCATTTTAGTCGACTCTGGTGCAATGTCGTCGGCTATAATGAGCATCGAAGACACACATGTTTCCACGCCGCCGCTTAGCCGAGATCATGATTGCATGACTTTATCGTACCCCATTCCTCTTGGCGCCCACTGAGGCCGCTGGTACAATACGTCGGCGTTCGGCGGATATGACACACTAGCAGCGTGTCAATTTTCAAAGTTCTTTTAGAGCGCTGTCAGAGTTATATAACTTACTGTAGGACTTCCGTGCTGGTATAATACCGCTGGATCAAAACGAACCCGAATTGCTCGTTCTTCCTTGCTCAGAACTCCCGCTATGGTTTCTCATCCACCGGACCCTCTTCATGAGCCCGTGGCAGTCATCGGTTCGGGACTCGCTGGCCTTATTACAGCGCACACCCTCCTGCAAGATGGTTTTGTGAATGTCGAGGTACTCACCCGCGACAAGTCCGTAGGCGGTGTCTGGTCCGAGGAACGCATATACCCAGGGCTCCACATTAACAGGTCTCCCTTTCCCCACGATTCATAGCCCCTCCAGCCCTGATGCAGTTCACCAGCGTGCACGGCGAGGTCAGGTTTTCTGCCCTGCCAATGCGATCACCTGAAAGTCACACCAAGACGGGAGGACGTTTGACCGGATACGACGTACGACGATATGTCGAGGATTTCAAGGAGTGCTTTTTGAAAGGTAAAATCCGTTTCGAAACGGAGGTCCTCAATATCCGCAGGGGTGATCATGAGCAAGGGTGGTCCGTCCGTGTGCGCGACAGTGCGGAGACGGAGCAAGTCTTATATTACCCTCGCATCGTTCTCTGCACAGGGGTGAGTTTCATCTCCATCGTTTGGCTCTCCGAGTTTCATCTCGGCGTGGTCTTCAGGGTAATAGCAACCCGAACATTCCCGAATCTCTATCTCCTGCGGCGGCCAAGACAGCCAATTTTTCGGGCCCTGTGTTACATTCAATGCACTTTGCGTCGCGAATCGATGACCTACTCGAATGCACGGCACCTGGTGATCCCGATGCTCCCCGACCGGCGCCTGTGGTTGTCGTCGGAGGTGGAAAGTCGGCGCAAGAGTGGGCACGACGTTGCGTGCATCCAGGGCTACCGTCTAACGCTTGCTTCTAGCGCTGCTGCCTTTCTTGCTAAGGAAGGTCGTCCGGTAAAAATGATATTCCGAACTGCGGATGCCTTCCTGGCAAGTCCAAACCCTTTACCCGATTTCATCAGGAAGAGCAGGTGTGCTACTCAGGTTTCGGTCATGATCTCACCCCCAACAAACAACATCCTAGGCTCATGTCGATGATGTCTGGCTATAAAGATTTACGCACCTGGATGGAGTAAGCGTTGAAAGTTTCGCGAGCACGTGATCGCTGCTTTATCTGAGATTCATCCAGGCGTTTCTTGCACACGACTTTGTTGGGTGGGGCAATCGTGCGCAGTTATTGGGCTGCTCTGGCACAACATTCGGTAAATATACACGCTCATCTAGTTTCGAAACTGTCCTTCACTCGGATACTGTTACAGAAATACGTTTTGGGTCTTCCGCGGGACTCACCGCTTCGTTCCACAACGTCCATATTCTGGGATACGCGAACTAACGATGAAGGGGTGCCTCGTGAGGGGAGTTTCCATTCGCTCGCGAACGCAGGAAAGATAAACATTATTTCGCCCGCGCGAGTGGTAAATTACGGAGACGATGGGCGATCGGTGGTGCTTGACGACGGATCTACATTTCCCGTTTCCGCGGTTATCCTTGCAACCGGGTACAAATCTACCTGGCGTCCCATCTTCGATGGCGAGTGTCGGTTGCGCCTTTGGGTGATAGCGATGCTTACCGTACCTCAACAGATGAGACGATAGAATACCTCGGTCTGGCCCAGCGCCCTCCGGATTACGAACCGAGGACGAAGGCTCGCTGGGACTACACGAGTTTCGCTAACCCGCCTGCCAACCTGGAGAATACACCATGGCCCGCGTCGATCTATCGAGCGCTCGTTCCTGCAAAGAACATCATGAATCGTGATTTTGCGATCAACGGAGCAGCGGTATTTTTGTTTCTCCTTTTTAGCTCTGCGCACCGCCGCTCACCCGCGCGATTTCGTGACTGTGACAGTATACGACGAACCACGCGTATGTTTCTGAGGTCTCCGCTCATTGGATTGCATCGTACTTCCGCCGCGACGAGCTTCGGCTTCCACGGAGCGTGGACGAGGCGCACGAAGTGGCCGATCGCGATGCAGCGTGGGTGCGACGGCGGTATCCATATACCTTACACGGGACTGGCGAAAGCAACTCGACCGCCGTCTCGTTCTGGTCGTACGTACTACTCCCTCGTGGCGCTGTGCGACTTTCGGGATGCTCATATTACTGTAGGTGGCCGCAACTAGCTGACGACCTCTTGGAAGATATGGGGCTGCCTGCGCAGCGTAGCGGTGGCAATTGGCTGACGTGGCCCTTCAAGCCAGTTGACGTCGGCGCGGAGTTGGCGACCTTGAAAGAGGAGAGAGATGCTAAACGCCGCACTTGAATACCCAATGTACTTCACACCTCCTACTTGTCAAACTAATGTTTTTGGAGCTTCGGCCAGCCACTGAATTTACTCAGATATACAAGTTTGGTATT